TATGCATGGGGTACTCTGAAGCAAGAAGTTTATTCTTCGCCTATTCAATCAGAGCAACATTTGAGAAATCGTATCGTAGCTGCAGCGAACAGAATATCGCAAGAACAGTGCCTGGCTGCTACAAGAGCCGTGTTTGACAGATGCAATGCTTGTATTGCTGCAAGAGGTGCACATTTCGAACAAAATCTTCATTAAAAAGTTTATAAATAAAATAATTAAAATAATAAATTAAATATATTTTTTTCTTTTTTCGTGATTTCCTGCGAAACAAAGCAAAAAGGAGCATATGTCTATAGGACTTTTTTTCTTAGTTTTTTACTCCTCTACACGCTCCCGAAGTTTTGCCATTTAATTTGGAAACACCCTGTATTTAAAAATAGTTCTTTACTGATCCAAGTTAATTCTTCCATCGTGACTTTGATGTCCGAATCCTCCTTTTGTAATGCCGGGATAAGGATAGTTGAGAATCCCAAGGTTGTACCGAAAGTAAGCAGAAGTAAATTTTTGGCGCCAACTGCGCAACATTGTGGTATTGCTTGTCGAAGTTTAGAAATATATACTTCTTCATCCGTAACTGATGTTTTGTCATCATTTCTAAAATACAGAGAAAAGAATTCAATGTACAGTGTACTAAAAATGCAATGATGATTTTAATATCTAATTCTTTTAATATTATATATAGATATAGCAATTATTATTAAATTAATTAATAAAATCTTCACAAAACGAACTTGTATTAGAGCTCTCTCTTAACAATAACAATGTATATAAAACACGGGCAAATGGTTATTAATAGTGTATATTCGATCAAAAAGTCTGTATACACTGACAAAGACACATGTCTAATAAGAATTTAAAAATGTTCGTGGTCACAATATTTGAAACGGAATTGCACTCTCCTCATTAGAACTGATCTTATCAGCCTAAAAACTGAAAAAAAGAAGAGTTCACAAAATTGAAATATTGGAAGTTCGATGGGAAGTTGTCTTTATTCTTCAATTTTATATTTTTTAATTTTAATTTTTAATTAATGTATTATTATCTTGAAGAGAGAGAGAGAGAGAGAGATGGCTGAAAAAATACAGCCGAAACGTCGACAATTGTTTATGGTAACTGTATAGACTGTGAATAATTAATTAAAAAATTAAAATCATACATATATTGAGTTGTTAATAATTGTTACTTTCAATTTTTGTTATGTTTAAAATATCTTCATTAAAATAAAGTGATGCAATTCTCTTTTTAAAAGTGGTATAATTTTAAGCGAAATAAAATTTGAATATGAATTCGAAAGTTCAAGTTTGAGAACTTTGATTTCATTGTGTGGAGGGTTACAATTGGGAAACACCAAACAAAAAAAAACCAAATTTAAACTTCGAAAATTGAATTTAGATTTTATTTTATTCAGAATTGTACTATATTCGAAACGATTATGACCGTGAAATCAAGGAGATCATATCTTAATAATAGACTTATTTTTTACAAGCTTAATAACCGCAAAAAAGCATAGCGACGATGTTGATTTATAAAAGATTAATTTAATTTTGCAAATATTAATTCCATAATATTATTTATTAAAACGTATGAAATTGATTAATGCGAAACGTATGACATTCGATTTATCTTATTTTTGATAAAAATAGACAATTCTCCGTCTAAAAATAACATTCTCAAGAATTTTAGTAACTATTTGACGCTTTAGGCCTTGGAATTTAACATGCTCGACACATCTTTAAAGTCCATATTGAACTCTCAATCAGTCGAATAAAAGATCTTAAATGGTAGAGACAAGGTGGAAAGAATCCGACAGTTGCATAATGCCGAATAATATTTTTACGGGATAATTAAACACACGTTTGTAATTAAATAGACGGAGCAAAAGTATACATAAAATTAACTCGTTATAAATATGACTAATAAAATATAATATAATAATAAAATTAAATTAACTAATAAGTTATAGACTCCTTTAATTAATATCACACAACAAAGATAAAAATTCGTAAAAAGACTATAGGAGTCAACCTCTGGTTGTTGAAGATTTCGAAAAATATATTACATTAATACCATCGATCGCGTACAAAAAGAGAGAAGACAATCACTGCGATTTATTAATTGCTGTACTTATTAATGTTGTAACACTGAAGATGACTCGAACAGAAGTCGAAACGTACGAAATCAGATGGTATTAATGTAATATATTTCTCGAAATCTTCAACAACCAGAGGTTCATTCCTATAGCCTTTTTACGAATTTTTGTCTTTGTTTTGTGTGATATAAAATATAATATCTATCTTAGGCATCTATTAAATCTAGCAAAAGTATGTTTAATAAATTCATATCCATAAATTATTTTAGAAAATATATTTTTAATAGAGAAATAATAATAGGATAATCACGCATAACATACATATTAATAAATGAATGTGAAATGGAGAGATAGGATTATTTGCGCACTGAGGAAAGTATATATACACGAGTTTAATGAAATGTAATTCTTCCATCTTGAAGCATAATCAACGATTTACAACACCCTTTCACTTGACGTAATCAATTTGCTTTCGGCAACAATCTCTATGGCGAAGTTGGATTCAATCATTCTTAGGACCAATAGACTACAATACATTCCCAGACAGCACTGAATATTTATGATAAATATTTATTATTATTCATTTTTTGAAATATGTTATATAAATATTTTATATATATTTTATATAAAGCTTTATTCGAAATATTATTAAAAGATAGACTAAATATTTAATGTAATATTTATGA